TGAGACAACTACATAAACTGGCAAAGTGAAACTCTTTGTCACAGGTAATTTAATTCTGTAATTATCTTTTTCCTATATGCCTTCAGGGCAAGAATCTGCTCTGGTTCAGAGCAGATTCATAAGAAAGTTAAAAATAAACTGAGCTTCCCAATTACTAAAATAGAAAAGAAGAAAAGAAACAAAATTTAACAATTCCAAAAATAATCTTCAGAAGAAAAAAAAGTGCTTTTTAAAATAGGCAGTGAGGTGGATTCTGCTTTTAGCTGTGAATAATGGAGGGGCAGTGCCTGGTTTTCTTATGTTGCAATGACAGCTGGGTTTCACTTGTACTTGCTGGAGATAAGACATTTCCACATGGTCATATGAAGTTCAGCAACCGGCTCAAAAGCACAAGTAATGATGCAAACATCCACTGTGCCAGGGAGAGATATAACTGAAAGCTGCTTAATTCTGGTTGTATTTCTGTAAGAGAAGGTGTGAATTTGCAGCCTTTTATCAGTTGGTTACTAGGAGCACTGTCCAGTTACAAAAAGCTATTTTTTGGTGTATATTTGTAAGTATTCTGACTTAGCCCTTCCCTGCTTTTAAGGGAAGAAGGAGAAAGGTGAAATGCATTTGTCTTCAAATGATGCCAATTTTATTGGATGAACCTCACCCTATGAGCCATGGCCATGCAACTTTGCACAGTGAGTTTGTTGTTCAAAAATGTCCATAAAACATTTCCACCATACACCACCATTACACCACCAATTTATGTTGTGCCAAGCATCTTTTCAAGTGCTTTACAATGAGCTTGAGGGTTGTAGGAAAAGGCCAAAGAGCCAAAGGATAATGTGACACAGACAGAGGGGCAGAAAGCCTGGCAGGGGTACCAGCAAGTCTGCAGGTTTCTGCTGTGGCAAGGAACTTATTAAATTCACAGTCAGTTTGTATTCCTTTGTTCTCCTGCCAGCATTGTTCAGCTTCTCTCACAAGACAACCCAGTAACCCTTCTCTGCATCTTCTCCTGCACTGCTTCCTTCTAGAGTGTGAGAGCACAAATCATACCCTGTGTTCTGGGGGAAGCACCACAGAGAGTTTAGTACACTTGCATTACTGCTTCCTTGCCTCTACCAGAGAAATACCATCTAAGGCATGTTCTCCTTTTCTGTGAGTGGTTGAAGATTTATTTCTTGTTTACTTCTATCACCTTTTCCATGTTCTGGCTCATTTGACTTTTGACAAAACTGGCCTTAATCCTATGTGTCTCTACTCAAAGGCTATCTTTGTTGACCAGGATTGTTTACTATTTCTGACTCCTAAGAACCTCTCTGAAGTGTTTTTTTTTCCCATTTATTCAGGTCAAAAGTGTTTCTCAATAAGATTTTTTTTTCCTTGCCAGGAATATATACATTTGGATAGCGTTTGTATCTTTGATCTAGATCTATTCCAATCTCCCTCCACAGTCAAGTCTTCCAGCTCTTTAGTGCAGGTGAATTTGCTAGTGAGTTTCCTTATTTGACTGTCTGCCCTTTGCCTACGTTTGTTATTCTGTCCGTGGATATGGAAACAATTGCTGAGTACTTAGCCCAATGCAGTTTTCTATGGCCAGGTCTTTTTTAGTGTCTTCATTACTTACTAATTTGAGGTTGTCTCTTTTTGTCTCAGTGACTACTGAGAAGGAATCTGTCAGTTATCACACACATGGCTAGCTGGGCCCAATTTTATTATTAGAAGCATTTGTTTCCCAAATAGTATCTGGGAAGTTAAAATTGGCCATGGCACAATTCCCAGTAGTGTTTCCATAATAACATTTCAGTGACAGACCTTTTCTTACACCATTGTATTTTAGCTGCAGACAAAAAAGGCCAGGTTTCAGTGATGTGTCCAAATCAAAAATAACCACCCCTCAAAAAACAGAGGCTGTGAGCAGGTGGCTTGGGCTGCTGGAAGTGGAGCTTCCTGTTTCTATACAATGGGGAATTTTATGATGAATTAAATGATGGTGAGTTAACTGACAGATGGCTTTAAATAAATTGCAAAGATCAGTTGATGCTTTCCACTTGCATAGATGAAATGGCTAAACATTGAAATAGAAGGAGTATTGTACTAAGATTGCGCATGGCTTGGATTTTGGCCTATTGATCATTTCCACATGGGCCATGTCTAGCTTCCATTTGGAACAGGAGCAGAGCAGTAAAAAAGTCTGATTCATGAGCTATTGTTCTCCTGAGTTACAAAGACTAAGCCAGCCTTTTCTGCCGTAGGATTGCTCTGTTCAGCTTGGAGTACCACAATGGAAGGATTCACTGTCTTGTGCCACCAGCCCAGTTTTGTGTGGATTCCTACTGATTCTTCCAACCTCTGGCAAGTGACCATTTGCTCACTAGCCATGGGCATTAACATTATGGCAGTAATTGTAAGTGGGTAAGTCAGTCATGGAAATAAATGCATTTAAAATTTTCTCACATTTTGCCTACATCCAAGACTCTGAGTGCAACTTGAAGTTTTAAAAGTAAGAAACATGCAAAGCACTCGTCTTCTCAGCATGTGTCTGTGTCTCATCGAAATTAGCATGCTGTTCACACATGACAAGGCTTCTAGCAGTTTGTTATAACATTTCTGGCTCACAGAGGCTCACCTAACTTCTCACTCTCCTTCTCCCTGGAATCTAATCATAGCTATTTGTATCGCTTTTACAGCCCTATTTTGTGTACTGACTTGCTACATCACATTTTCAAGTAAAGACCAGCCTGAAGAGTACTTGCCAGAAAAACTCTGCACCTGTTCTCAGATCTTTGGCAGCAAACCAGTAAAGAAATCCAGGCCAGTTAACACTGGCCAAAGAAGTGGGCTGAAAGTTTGAAGTGGAAGGGTTTTATATCTGAGAGCTCCAGTAGCTGCCTGAGCACTTGTAATAATGACTTGGCTGTACAGGTGAAGCCAGCAGGACGCAGGACAAAAATATGGGGGTCAGAAGGCCAGAATCAGAGGCTGTGCTATGGGGAGCCAGTGGGAAAAACAGGGAAGTCTTTTTTATAAAATGCACAGAGAAAGAAACTGGGCATTAAGCTGTGCTTTAAATGGCAAAGGCATCTTACATGCAGGCCTCTCCTTGGAAAGGAGACACGGAGAGTGGCATGGTAGTGTAGGACTGACAGAGCTATCATAAGAGGGCGAGGATTGCATCTTCCAGAAATAGCTTATATCAGTTGTCTGAGCACACAGGCCAAGTGGGTAGGACCCAGAGCCACAGGATCAAGGATTTCTTGTTCTCTCTGAGCTCAGTGTCCTCCTGCATTTGGCACTGGGGCTGTGACCTAGCAGCAGACTGCAAGTAAGAGTCTCCCACCACCCTGCCACCCCCCTCAACTGGTTATCTCTCCCATGCACCCCTCCACCTCTCTCCTTTTCCCAGATTTCCCTTGTGCCAGATGCCACAGCTGACATCCTCTGGGAACAGCAGTCTACTGCATGCCTGCAAGCTACAGGGAGGAGACTGCCGTGTCCCAGGTAGATGGGTAGGAGAACTGGATCTTGAGAGGTTTGTCTCCTGCCCAGGGCAGGAAGCAGCAACTCTTGCCTGCTTTGCTGCTTTTGGTGCCATGAAGCTTCAGTTTAGGTTACCCATGGACACACATAGGTGGAGTCACTCAGTATACTGAAATCCATTGGGAGGGTGAAGGGACAAGTGGGGAATTTGAATTCCATATGACACTAATTAAATGGAAAGAAGAGAACAATTGGTGGGGTGAAACCTGAGGTTTAATGTTGTTCTTGACCTGGTGAAAACCCCAAGTTGCTCAGGACACATTTCCTGTAATTTTTCAAACACTTTCCCCTTTTTCTTTCCACTGTTTTGTTTGCAATGCTCTTCAAGTGTGTGTGCTTTGACCTATTTGTTGTTCTGCATATGCCTAATGAAGCACAAAAATGCCTAGTGCCTATCAGATAATGTATTTCTTTATGGGTTTGTAGATGCTCACATATAAACACATGCATTAAAGGCTTCACTTTTGTTGGAAAATAGCACTTCCTAATGTGCTCACCACCCCAGATTGCATTTTACTGGAGTAAAAATAAAGGGAGGCTGTCTCAGCCTACCTGGGTTATTTCCATGACATTTCCTGCCATCATGTTTTGTTTACTGGTGTCCTGTCTCCCAGATTGAGTAGAGGAGCACTGCACAGCCTGGGGCAGGAGAAAGCACTGCAATTCCCAGAAAAGGCAGGCCCTGGGGACTGAGAAAGCAGCCACAGCCTAATATAGTTCTTTGGTTGACCAGGTCTTGAAAAAATGACCTCAAACCAGGTGAGGGTTGCACACTGTGAGCTCATGACAAACACTGTGGGTTCTGATGAGATGTGCTACAACCACTAACAAGATTTTTTTTAAAGCTTGTGGGGCAGGCTTCAGCAAGTTGTCTCCTGGCAAAGAGTCTCTGGAAGAAATATCATGCAACCACAAATTGATGACTAAAGCTATGTAAGGACTGGTGCTTATTACAACTGGAACAGTAAGTACAGTGAAGAGCACCTGGGGGCAGCCCCGAGCACCTAGGCAAGGGAACTGAGAGAACCTGTGCAAAACAGTTGTGCTGAGACAGGTTTTGGAGCTCAATAGCAGAGATTTGGGCATGTGTGGGACTCAGGGCAGTTCTCATGGTGTGACATAAAGATTAGGATCAGACTGTGATGTAGGCAGTAAAGCTAGCAGATGGGTGGAGAAGGGATCCCAGAATCACAGAATATTCTGAGTTGGAAGGGACCCACATGTTGTGACAGTCTGTATTTCTATAAATGCATTCATCTCCCAAAGTAATTATGAAGGGTGACAGTTCTGTTGCATTTTAGTTCTAAGACCAGAAATGTATGATAGATATGATGCATTGCCTACACACAGCTTGATTAGTCATCTTACTTATTGGATTGATGGGGAAATCACTTTTATGATGCTGCAACTTTCCATTCTCTTTATTCCTTCTCTCCAGTTTTAATTTTCTCATGTTCAACAGTTTTCCCTTCTGTTTCTTTTAATTCTCCTCTTTATTTTTCTCTGATTTTGCAAGCTGAGATAGAGACAACAACATTTTCTTAGTTTAGTAATAGCTCAGGAGGTACATAGTTTCTTCTGGAACTAAAATATGACTACATTTTATTCAGATTTATTTTAGTTATTGCTTTACATTTAAAGGTTTATGGGGTTTTATGTTTGGTTTGGGGAGAGGTTTGTGTCTCAGGAGTGTTGATTTTCAACTGAAAGAGCAAATCTGTTGACTTTTTGGTCACATGCATTGTATTTGCTTGCAGGAGCATTCATTTGACTTCCTGCTAGTCAACTATTTCAAAAACATTTTGAAAGATTCTTATTGTTATCAAATAATTTGTTTCAAACAGACTATATCCTAATGATTCCTTGTACTTTGTGCTCAAAAATTCACTGGGTTTCAGATTAGTTACTAACTTCTTGCTTGTACAGATTATTTGGAAAACAACTAGGAACTAAACTTCTTTTTGTACTATATTAATTATTCAAATTTCCATTTGAATCCTTGAATTTAGCTCAACATATTTAGAGGACAACAAATGACAGCTTTCATTCTGTTGCTGGTGTGGGGCAGCTACAATTGCCAGAAGAAACCAAAGTGAAATTACATTAATGCAAGTTAGATTATTACATTACTTGACCACTATAATGCATTACTCCAGATAAAGGTGTATTCAGCTACCTTAGATGCAATTCTTTGTATTTCTTACACATACTGCCTCGAATGGAAGGCAATAAACCGTGAGTGAACTTTATCTCCTATGGGCTTTGGGCTGCAATTGTGAACACCCAGCTCTTCCTGGAGTTAGATGCCTCATGCAAGACTCTGAGGAAACTGACAAACACTTAACTTGCAGTCAGCTGTAAAATCAAATGACTTCTAAGTCACCACATGGTACCACCACAGGAATGAACATTGCATGTGTCTAGCTGGCATCAGAGGTGCACCAGTAACTTGAGCTGGCCTCTGAGCCATGGCTCAGTCTTGCCCACAGCACTTTTTATTCTTCCTTCTGTGCCCTTCAGCCTGCTCAGAGATCCCTGCTGGACTGGTACCAATACCCACCTTAGCCAGAGTGAAATAAGCTCATGCACATGAACTCATGCACAAAAGATGCAGCTGCAGCACACACATCCGGTCTGGAACAGAGACAGGAATAGCATCCATTTCCTCAAGGTTTCCTACACTCTTCCGTGGTGAATAGTCCCAACATCTCGTTCTGCAAAAATCTGGCACATCCTGAAAGTCCATCCTGTATCCTAAACAAAGACATGGCCTTGCAAAATAAAGCAAAGCCAGAACAAAATAATACTAATACTACATAATTTAAGAATGTCCTGAAACAAATGAGGACTAACATAAAGTCACAGAATCAGTCTTCTAATATATCCTAATTCTGACTCCTTTGTTGTGCAACCTTAATGATTTTTTTTTTTTTAATTGGTCGTGTGCCTACGATACCTAGGCAAATTGAAGGGTAAGGACTGAAGAGCTGACAGCAAATGGGAAAAAGATACAGCAGAGTTAAATAGAGTAACATTAGAAGGTACATAATTTATCTATATACTTGGAAGAAGCTTGGTTTTGTAAAGGGCAGGATGTGAAGGGTGAAGACCTGAGGAACCTCTTGGGAGAAGGGGAAAAGTACTAAGGTATTTTCAGCTCAAGGGAAGACAAATTACAGAGGACTGAACTTTGGTTCCCAGCCCAGAACACACTGAAAGTCATCTCAGCAGGCTAAAGACTGGAATAGTCCCTGAAGAACTGACAAAATTTCCCAGCTTTCAATCTGTTATTTTTATTATGTGTACACATAGGCTGCAGAAAACTGCTGCTGAGAACAGAATCCATCTCTGGTCATTCCTAGTGACAACCATCAAAAAATAGGAGCTGCTTTTCCAATCAAGGAAGCATCTTGGTCTAATACAATGCTAAAAACTCTGTGAGGTCACTGAAATATCATATAGAAAATTTTCAGATTGGAAGCGGTCAGGGCCATAGAGATAGAAACAGGAGAAGGCAATTAAATTATTAACAACCCCTCAGATTTCTTCTAGCACGATTCACTCCTCTGGGCAAAATACAGCATTGATGCAGCACAGGATTCCAAACAAACTCATTTTTTCATCCTCTTTATCAGGAACAGATTTTTTTAATAACTTTCTTTTGAAATGGCATGGTCCAGTGGCAAACGGTTGGGCGCTGAGGTACGGAGAGGTTTTCCAAGAGCCCAGTGACTCCTGCCTGCCTTGGGTGCTGCTTCCTTTTGCTCCTGGCAGCAGCTCCTCAGGGGGTAGCTCTTCCTCGGATGGCTTTCCCTGGGGTTTCACGGCAGGGGGCAAAGGTACTTGGGGAGGGAGAATCCTGCCCCTACAGGATCCCAACCCCGCTCGACACACACACGGTGACGATTAGTTTCTTATTTTAGATGGTTATTCCTGGAGGCTGGGAGTGGTTCGCTGCCCCCCGCTTTGCGGGTCTCCCCCCGTCTCGGGCTGCCGGGGCCGGGGAGAGGCTCCTGCCGCCGGCCTGAGGAGGGGGAGGAGGAGGAGGAAGAACAGCGTCTGCGGCTTCGCAGGGAAGTCGGTCAGAAAAGACAGACTCGTTACTGAGAGGAAGACGCAGCACCGCTTTATCTCTCTTCACGTGTCTTCTCCCCCTGGTGAGCTTTGGTATAAATGGAGGAGGAATTTCAGCAAGCTTGAGCTGAACAACACTGCGGTCTAAATAGACAACGTGCTTCCTTTCCTACGTTTTCTCTTGCAGATGGGGCTGAGCTGAACAAGCTCTCCTCTTGAATCCTGTCATAAGCACCACCATGTGGGAACCGGGCTGGACTTGCCAGAGGCTGCAGCAGCAGTCTGGGCGGCCCTGAGCAGAAGCGACGAGTTCTGCCCTCTTCTCTGGGATGATTTAAAGATAAAATAAGCTGCTCTCTTAACAACCGGTAAGTGAACACCCCTGCTTTTCCAAGTATAGCTCGGTAAATCCTCTTGCACGGGCTGAGTGGATCTTGTGGCTGGTGACTGAACCCCTAGGACTGGTGCGCTGGAAGTGCTGGTTCCCGAGTTTGCCGGTGGGACATGGGATGGTTGTCGGGATACGTTCCACGGTTGGACACGATGGAGCTTGGGGGCCTTTTCCAACCTTAACCGTTCCACGATCTTGCGTCATTTCAGACGGGAAAGCTTCTAGCTTTAATCTCATGTAGGCTTTGTATGCGTGCTTCCAGATTTAAAATTTCCTTCAGGTGAATGCTGATGGCAGCAGCTGCCAGCAACACTGTTATTCAGTGTAAATTACCTCGTAGGTAAAGTGGCTGTTTCAATGCATCAGCGTGTTGCTCGGTCAAAGCACTCAAGGAATTAAACTGAATTTCCAGAGGTATGGAGCCTGCCTCTACAAGCCTCCTTTGAAGAGAAGACAGTTTTAATCGGTTCTGAGAGCTGGTGAGATGAGACTGCCCAGACGTTTCCCAGAGATTCCTGGGAACTTCACGGGGGAAAAAGTCTGAACGCGGCGGTGTAGTCGGGAGCCGGTTCCCGGTGGGGATGAGCCCGACAGAAACCCGAGTGCCGCCGCCCCCCGCTTTCCCGGCGGCGCTTGGATGCGCCTGATGCCGCAGGCGGGCTGCCGGGGAGCGGGGGAGAGGCCGGCCTGAGGCGCTGCCCGGGTCCGCATGCGGGGCCGGCTGTCGCCCCCGGCGGGCGGCGGGGAGCGCGGGAGGGTCCGCCGGGCACCCGGGCGCCTCCGCACACAG